AAAAATTCTAAAGAAGAAATCATCTGATAATCTCTTTATAACCTTGGGGTATAAAAGGCCTTCTTAACAATGACCCCAAATCCGAAATCTATAAAGAAAGATTGATAAAATAGATGACACAAAACAAGGATACAACCAAACAAAAGACTTCTGCATGGCAGACGACACTCAAGGGAAGTCCAAAGACAAACGAGAAATAGGAACAAAACATTTACAACTCAGGTCTACAGAGTCAACAGAAAGAAAAAGACCAGCCAGCCAGCAGACAACGGGGCAAAGACGAAGAGACAGTTCACAGACAGGGACAAACAGCACAGAGATGCTGGTCTCGGTCCAAAGGGACGGGCAGATTCAGACCGCCCTGACGCGATCCTCCCCCAGGAGACTGTGAAAACTCCGGAGGCTTCACAACACCTTCTGTTGGCAAGGTCATGAGGAAGTGCACTCTCATTGAGAGAGGGAGAGGAAACAGGAACAGCCCTGAGGGAGGGCAATCGGGCAACATTGGTCAAAACGCTGATGTGTTCACCCTGCACACAGTGGTTGGAGCCAGGATGTGCCCCAGAGCCTTAATGATAAATCCACTGCAGCGATCTTCGTAACAGCAGACAACTGGAAATAACCCAGGCGTCAATCAAAAGAGGACCGACTGAGTAAACTATAGTACATTTATACCCCGGACTGTTATGCAGCTAGTAAAAGAGGAATGAGGAAGCTCTTTATATATTGCATGGAAAGAACTCCAAGATATATTAAGTGGAAAAACAAAAATAAAAATAAAACAAAGTACCTAACAGCATGACTCATAAGCTCCTTTTCTTTTTCTTTCTTTCTTTCTTTCTTTTTTTTTGCAAAAAGGGGGAAAGTCCTAATCTATACTTATAAGTGTTGGCATATACATAAAGAAACACTGTAAGGAAACATAAGAAACCAAAGACAGTGTTTTAAATAAAATACTTAGGAATAAATTTAACAAAAGAAGTGCAAAACTTGTACATTGGAAACTACAAAACACTGTTGAAAGACATTAAAGAAGACCTAAATAGATGGAGGGACATCCCATGTTCATGGATTGAAAGACTCGATATCATTAAGATGCAACACTCCCCAAACTGTTATACAGATTCAGTGCAATCAATCAAACGCCAAGCTGGATTTCTGAAGAATTTGCCAAGCTGACCCCAAAATCATACGGAAATGCAAGAGACCCAGAAGAGGCAAAGTGATCTTGAAAAAGAAGAAGCAAGAGGACTGACACTCCTCAATTTCAAAACTTACTACAAAGCAATAGTGAATAAGACAGTGTGATGCTGGCATGAAGATAGACGTAGATCAATAGACTAGAACTGAGAGTCCATAAATAAAGCCTAACATTTATGGTCAATTGATTTTCAGCAAAGGTACCAAGACAATTCAATGGGAGAAAGGATAGTCTTCAAGAAATACTGCTGAGACAACTGAATAGCCACGAATAAAAGAATGAATTTGAATCCCTACCTCACACCATACACAAAAATTAACTCACTGTGGATCTTAGACCTAAATGTAAGAGCTAAAACTACACTTTTAGAAGAAAACAGGAGTATATCTTCATGAATTGGGGTTAGACAATGACAACTAAATACACAAATGATTAAAGAGAAGATTGAGAAATTGGTCTTCATCAAAATTAAAAACTTATGTGTTTCACAGAACACCATCAAGAAAATAAAAAGACAGTTCACAGACATGGAGGAAATATTTGCAAATCATATATCTGAAAATGGATTTGTATCCAGAATATGCAAAGAACTCTTATAACTGAATAACAAAAAGACAGCCCAATTTAAAAATGGATTAAGGAGTTAAATAGACATTTTTCCAAAGAAGATATATGCTAATAAGCACATAAAAAGATGCTCAACATCATTTTTCATTAGAAAAATGCAAATCAAAACCACACAGAGTACCTACTGAGAAGGGTATAATGACAAATGCAGGCGGTGACAAGTGTTGGCAAGGGTCTGGAGAGACTGGAACCCTCAGGTATTATGCGGGACTTTTTTTTTTTTAAAGATTTTACTTTTCCTTTTTCTTCCCAAAGCCCCCCAGTACACAGTTGTGTATTTTTAGTTGTGGGTCCTTCTAGTTGTGGCATGTGGGATGCCACCTCAGCATGGCTTGATGAGTGGTGCCATGTCCGTGCCCAGGATCCGAACTGGTGAAACCCTGGGCCACTGTAGCGGAGCGTGCAAACTCAACCACTCGGCCACAGGGCTGGCCCTGGGATTTTTTTTTTTAATTCTCCCCAAAGCCCTCCAGTACACAGCTGTACATTCTAGTTGTGAGTGCCTCTGGTTGTGCTATATGGGACGCCGCCACAGCATCCTGACAAGTGGTGCCATGTCCGCACCCAGGATCCAAACCGGCAAAACCCCGGGCTGCTGAAGCGGAGCGTGGGAACTGAACGACTTGGCCACCGGACCGGCCCCCATTACGCGGGATTATAAAACTATGCAGCCACCTGGGAAAACACTTTGGTGGTTCCTCAAAATGTCAAACACAGAACTACCACACAACACAGCAATTCCACTCCCAAGAGAAATGAAGACATGTCCACCGATACTTGCACACAAATGTTCACAGCCAAACAGTAGAAACAATCAAATATCCATCAACTGATGATTGGATAAATAAAATGTGGAATACCTAGAAAATGGAATATTATTTGGTGATAAAAAGGAACGAGGGGCTGGGCCCTGTGGCGGAATGGTTAAGTTCACACTCTCTGCTTCAGCGGCCCAGGGTTTCACCAGCTCGGATCCTGGGCACGGACATGGCACTGCGCATCAGGCCATGCTGAGGTGGCGTCCCACATGCCACAACTAGAAGGACCCACAGCTAGAATGTGCAACTATGTACCAGAGAGCTTTGGGGAGGAGAAAAAAAAAAAGATAGGCAACAGATGTTAGATCAGGTGCCAATCTTTAAAAAAAAAAACCAATGTGAAAAGCAGGCAAATCTATAGAGACAGAAAGTAGATTAGTGGGAGCCCAGGGCTGAGGTGGGGAGAAGTGAGGAGCGACAAGGTTTCTTTCTGGGTATGAAAATGTTCTGAAATTAGATTATAGTAATGGTTGCACAACTCTGTAAATATACTAAAAAACACTGAATTGTACACTTTAAATGGGTAACTTTACAGCACATAAATTACATCTTAAAAAAGCCGTTTGTTGTGGGGGAGGCGAGAACTGAGCAGGCGGAGGAGAAGCAGGCAAGGAAAGCTTTCTATTACACACCTTTTTGTACTTTCTGAGCTTCCAACCACGTGACTGTACTATACATTCAAAAAGCAAATTTAAAAAAACAAATGGATCAAACAAAATTCAAAAGAGACCCTTGACTGTTCCCTCATTTGGGGCTAAAAGAGGGAGAGACTGCTACCCACCCCAACCCACTGGGGAGTGATGGTTGGGCGGACAGTGGGTTAGATCAGACAAGGGCAGCCTGCGTGCGGTGTGCGGCCCGGCTCCCTGGTGCCCGTAGCCCAGAGAGCGGCCGGAAGGGACAGTTCTCAGAGGCCTGCCTGTGCCTCCTCACGCGTGCGGCTTGTTAATAGGCGCTGCACCAAGAAAGACCTCTGTGGTCAAATCAGTGTGGAAAATGCTGGGTTCAAGAAAGTCAAAGCGTGTTTTTTTGCCTGGAGCCCTTCTCAGAGGCTTGCTCGTGACTCTTCAAGAAGGGCTCTGGCAGCTTCAACGTGCTTCTGCGTTTTTGAGGGACATCTGGTGGAACAGAGGCTCTTCTTCATTTTACAGCTGAAGGGAGCCCAGAGAGGCGGAGGGGCTCATCCAAGGTCACATAGCGAGTCCGTGAGAAGCAGAAGCTAGAACTCCCGACCCCCAGCCAGGGCTGAGTCTGCTGCATGAGGCAACTCCCATCAGCGCCAGGTCACAGTTCTGACTGGTTCCCAATCCGTGTCCGGGGCCCAGGGCCTTTCAGCCCGTGTCGAAACAACCTCTGCTCCCTGCCCCGGTCAACTCTCTCCGAGATTTTCTACATTTGAGCCCTGAGCTGAGGATACGTCTGAGGAATCAGAGAAGAGACACGCTCCCTACACGCTGTGTGGGGGACAGAGCAGACTGTGCACCCGTCACCCCACACCCCCTCAGACCCAGCCTCAGGCCCCGTCTGCACAGGGACCACTTGGATCCTTCCATCTGCTTAGTGACCTATGCTTCCAGGTTTTTGCTTTCGAGCAAACCTGTCCTGATAGATGATCCCACTTCTTCAACAAATAAGCAGCAAGGAAAAAAAATGGGAACTGTGTAAGAGTAAAACCTGTCACCAAAGGTACACTGTGGGCTCTGTTTGACCCTGATGTGAGCAAATCCACCGGAAAAGACACGGAGGAGACAATGTGGAGTGTCTGAACCCCCGCCGGCTGCTTGAGAGACGGAGGGACGGTTATGGCATGATGGTTAGTTTTTTTGGTTTTGTTTTTAGGAGATAAATCCTGAGTATCTACAAATCAGACAATACGATATTTGGGATCAGCTTTAAAATGACCCGGTGGGGCTGGAAGGGGAAGCCGGGGGCGCAGGTGACGGGAGGTTGGTCACATATCGATAGACGTGAAGCTGGGTGACACATGCAGGAGGGTGCATTAAACTCTCCTCCTTACTTCTGCCTGTGTCGGCTTCAAAATAAAGTATTTTTTAAAATGTCCTGGCCAGCCTGGCTCTGGGTCCTCGGCCAGCTTGGGGCAGGGAGTCTCAGAGGGGATTGCTGCCCTGTGGCTGACCCTCCGGCCCCAGCTCCTCTCCTGGAACACAAGGCACAGACCCCAAAGCCCCCAGACTCGGGGCTCTCCACGTGCGGGGGCCTGTGGGCGGCCCTGGGCTGCCCGAGCTTGCCCATCTGCTGCAGGTGTCATGCCCACCGAACCCCACGGAGCCCATGCGGCGTGCCCCCCACCAAGCCCTTCTCGCTCCCACCCACCCACCTCCCCAGCTACTCACACCGCTCCTCCCGGTCCGCCCGGCTCCGGCCACCTCGCCTGCTGCGGCCCAGGCCACTCATTACTCAGGACGTTTATTATTAGCCTTGCATTTGATTAGTGCCTGGGCTGCACTTCCTGGGTTTTCCCCGCAACCTGTAGGATGTAAATCAGCGGCACCCCATCCCCGCCCCGCGCCTGCGCGTTCTGTCTCAGGTGCTGAGGTGGGTGGACTTGGCCTGATGCTCCAGGAGTCCTGTGTGGCGCTGCCCGCTGAGCCCCCAGGCATGCTGCTCCCGGGGCACAAAGCAGGGAAGGCCTGGCCCTGCCTTGGGATGAGGTGTAAACTGTGGTACTGCCCAGATCTGGCCCTGAGCTCCCACCTGGACCTGGTCTCCTGCCCCAGGCTCAGCCGGAGTGAACCAGCTCTCCAGCCTTCAAGCACTGCCCAGGTCCTTCTCTCGTCCTGGACAACCGTTTCCTATCTCATTGCCCCGTCATCGCCTCTTGTTCCTTCTTCGGGCTCAGCTGAGGCGTCACCTCCTCTTGGAGGCCATCTCTGATTGCCCCAGGCCAGGTTAGGTGGCCGTTCTCTGTGCTTCCTAAGCCCTGTCCTTACCCTATCAAAGCACCACAGATGCTGCTGCTAGAGCGTGGGTTCGAATCTGGGCTCGGCCACTGACCAGCAGGAAGCCTTGGTGGCAGTTTACTTAACGTCTCTGGGCCTCCATTTTCTCTTCTGTAAAACTGGCGTGATAACAGTAACTGTCTTATGGGTCGTTATGACAATGAAGTGAGTTAACACACAAATTCTTAGAGCAAGGTCTCGGCACAGAGTAAGTTCTCACTAGATGATACTGAGGGTTAGTACCATAGCCCTGTGAGGATAGGAAGCCCAGTGGCTTAAGGCTAGAGTGGGACGGATTCAGAATTCAGAGAGCCCGGGGCATTTAGGAAGGAAGCTCTGAGGCATGGGAAGGAATCCAGCAGGTGGAGGGAAGGAGGGCGGGCCTCCAGGCAGCGGTCAGGGCAGGAGGGACAGGAGGGGGCTGGAGGGGGCTGGAGGGGGCAGGAGGGGAAAAGCAAAGGCCAGTTTGCATGATGATGAGCAGAACAGGAGAGAAAATGCAAATGGCTGGTAACCCTGAAAAAATGCTCAATCTCGTCAAAAAGCAGAAAAATACAACTTAACAATGAAAAACTAACTTTCAGCCATCAGGCTGGCCAAGTCTTCAAGCTGATGGTGTCGAGTGCTGGGGGTGAGCTGGGGAAATGTGGGTGCATGCCCTGCTGCAGGGAGCCGGTCGGCCCCACCAGTTCAGAGGGCAACCTGCTGGGGTCAATTAAATGTGGAACAAACGCCTAACCCACGACCCAGACATCCTTCTCCCTACGCCACAGGTGCAAGAGGATGTTTAGCAAAGTGTAGTGAGTACCGACAAGCACCTGGAAACAACACAAATGCCCATCCCCCAGAGGAGGGCTGAGTAAAGGAGGTGCATAGGCCATAACCAGGATTACCAGGCACCGCATAAAACGAGTGAGACAGGTCTGTAAGCAGCGACGGGAAAGACTGTCGAGACAGGTCATAGAGCGGAAAACATAGCTTATAGCATGATACTTACAGTAAGATGCCTTTTAGTAAAACAAAAACAAAGCCACACACCAGGCTGCTCCATCCTCGTCCACGGTCGCATACATGTAAACGCAATGTGAGTCTGAAAGGAGACGTGTGACGACCATGGCTGCCTCCGGGTAGGGCAAGAGGGACAAGGACTGGGGATGATGGTCAAAGGTGACTTTAGCTCTATTTGTAGTGTTTTAATTTTTACACGGAGAAGATACCACGGATTACTTGTGTCAATGAAAAGTAAGAAAACCACCGCCGGGCTGGTGGGCTAGAAGAGTGAGCCAGAGGCAATCACAGATTCTGTTGCCAGGAACCTTCTGCCGGTGGGAATGGAGCAACCCAGAGTCACTGTTGGGTGCCCTTGTGGCGTCCCTCCCTTACCTGCAGTTTTCACACTCCCAGGGCCGGGGGGCTCACCCACTCACAAAGCAGCTGGCTCCCAGGGCGTTAGCTCTGACCATTAGAAAGCATGCTTCCGTCTGTTGAGCAGACCGTGCCTTCCAGAAACGGACTCCCCAGACCGAGCGCTGCTCTCCGAGGCTGCATACGTGGTCTCCGTCAATGAGATGGCACCCTGGAGTTTTAAAGCCAGCACAGACCAGGCGTGAACTGAAACACAAGCACACAGAATCCAGCGTGACTCTCGGGCTGGCTGGAGAACTGCACAGCAGGGTCCCTGACGTCTCGCTGCTGATCACAGCTTGTTAGTGCTTTTGCTCGAACGGTTGACACATAACGGACTTTATTTGCTTTCTATTTTCTTTAGCTGGAGGTGCCATTTACATACAGTGAAATGGATGCGTGTCAAGTGGAAGGTCAATGCGTGTTCAGGCGCGTGCATACCCAGGCAGCGCCACGCAGATTCGGCTCGGGCGTTTGCAGCCCCAGAAGGCTCCCGCCTCCCTCTCGCAGGCAGTGCTCCCCACCCGGCCCGGAGAGCCGCCCATCCGGCTTCTCTCTCCACAGAGTCATTTTGCCTGTTTCTGAACTTCCTATAAATGGGAACATGCGAACGGGGTCATCCCTTGCTTTGTTCTGGCTTCTTTTACTTGAGATTAGATTTCATTAAACAGACAAGACAAAGCCATGGGGGTGTGGAGGGAGCTGTTTAATTTCTGTGGGCCTCACTCTCTCCTGATCTATCAAACGGATGAACACGAAGCTCCAACAGGACAGCACAGACGAGAGCACATGGGACCTCTACCCCCAGGGCGCCACCATCGCGAGGAAGTATTACTCTTATTGTCACTGGGCAAACTGGATTTCATGACCCGTGAAAATGGATTCCCCCTCTGCGCTGGGCTCCCTCAGAACAGGTGGTGGAGGTTTCTGAACCTCATGCTGAACCTTCCAAACCTCATTCTGAAACCAGCCCTTTCTGGCTTGTCTCCCTGGGGCACGCAGAATTCTAATTTTAAGCTCCACGGTCGGGGTGACAGAAGAGTTTGGAGCCCAGAGTAAAGATACGTGGTGTACCTCCAGGTGTGGGAGCCGGTTCCTTCACGTACATGTGTTTAAACAGTTGAAATGAGCACACAATACAGAAAAATTCAAACAACGTGAAAGAGAATATAGGCAAGAGCAAATTTCTCTCTGTCCAGATGCCCCAGACCACGGCCTCCTATCCCAGAGGCAGCACCACCGGCAGACCGGCTCACACGGCCTTCCAACAGAGCCCGGGCCTCTGCGCGTGTCCGCGGCACACCTCATCCCCCACACGCTTTATAAAATTCTGCTGAGGTCATAATGGTTTACAACACTGCGACATCTCAGTTGTACTTTATTGTTGCCAGTCGCCATACATACCACACGCTTTTGTTCACATAATTGCTGGCTTGTCCGGATTGAACACACTGCTAACATGCCCTTTTCATTTAACGTGCCCCATCACTTTTTAAGTGCGCTCTTAAAATGCTCGTTAGGAATAAGAACAACAGTGAGCGTTCCTGTCCCCTCACTGTGCTTCAGGCACTACTCTAATGCTTCTCATGCGTCCATTTAATATATCGAATGGCTTGAATCCCTCAAGTGGCATCTCTTGGTCAAAGGGAACGTGTCGCCTTGATCGTCTGGGACGCTCTGGTCACAGGGACCCTCGCGGGTCTCATTCCCGCCCTCGTGTCGGCCACCCCGCTGGCCCTTTGAAGCCATGCTATTGAGCCTCCTCTGGGCAAGTGCTAGAGGTGAGATAAAAGCAAGAGTATCCAAAAAAGGACATTTCTTAGAAATGCGGCGAAAGCCCTGATTTTCATGATTGCAATTTACATATACCACTCAGGTGCGCTGAATTTCCTACTTTGCTAATATACCCGTTCTCTTAATTTGTACTAATTTTTCAGAAGTGCTAGAGACCATTATTTGAGCAAAACCCACTTCAAAGAAGCGAACAGTGCTTTCTTCACAGTAAGAGCACCCAGCCTTTTGTGGGAAGACCTCGTTTCTTTTTTTTTTTTTAAGATTTTATTTTTCCTTTTTCTCCCCAAAGCCCCCTGGTACATAGTTGTGTATTTTTAGTTGTGGGTCCTTCTCGTTGTGGCATGTGGGACACCGCCTCAGCGTGGCCTGAGGAGCGATGCCACGTCTGTACCCAGGATTCGAACTGGCAAAACCCCCAAACCGCTGAAGCGGAGCGTGTGAACTTAAGTGCTTGGCCATGGGGCCGGCCCCCTGGTTTCTTTTTCTATTTTAAAATTTTCCCCTCAAAACTTTTTATTACGAAAAATTCAAAACTCAGAGAAAGGTTAAAAGTAAAGTAAAATGAATTTCCCTGGACCCTGCACCGAGATGGGACAACTGTTCTCAGGCTCCTGGAAGCCACCTGTAGACCTTCTGACGCTTCACTCCTAAATGCTTCACAGACGTCTCCTAAGAAGAGGGACGCGCTCTCACACAGACTGTCGTTTTCACACCTGGGAAGTCAGTCAGAATTCAACAGCATCGCTTACTCCCCAGTCCGTGCCTGAGTTTCCCCAGCTGCCCTAAGTTTTCCGTGGCTGCTGCTTGTCAGTCAGAATCCAGCCGAGGCTCACGTGTTGCACTCAGCTGTTACACCTCTTTAGTCATTTTTCGTCCAGAACAGTCCCCTCCCTTTGGCTCTTTTCCTTTCACCTCCTTCTTTTCCTTTCTTTTGTTTGTTTGACATGGACTCGGCCGCTGTCTTACGGAAGCTCCCACGTCTGCGTCTCTGACAGTCTCCTCGCGGTGCAGCCCACCCTCCGTCCTCTGTGAGCGCCCAGAGGCGGAACATCAGATCCATAGGGTCACCCGGACTCGGGTTGCACAGTTTGGGGGAGAAGACCTCCCAGGTGACGAGGTGTCCTTCCTATTGGATCTCATCAAGAGGTGCGTGATGTCAGCTTGTCCCGCACACAGTGACGCTGACCTGGATCGGCATTCGGGTGGGGACACCAGGCGCCCCCAGGTAACGGCATCATGCCCCTCTGCAGTTAGCGTCACCTGTGGAGGTACTTTCGCACCATGTGTGTTCTGGTCCCTGACCACCTTTAGGTAGATAGC